TCTCACTGAATGCATGTCAATGTCCCGATTTTGCGTCATACAGTCAAGGCGCGCTGAAGTCCCCGAACTTGCGCTTCCGCTCGGCCCGAAGCGCATCCTTAGTTTGCGAGGGAGAGGGGCAAGAATCGTGACTGCAAGGAAGGCATGAGCACAGCAAATTGGCTTCAACTCAGGGAATTTGCTTGCAAAGATCAAACTTTAACCAAGCGGCGCGGTTCTGATGGTATCGCGACTTCGCCTCGGCGTGTGCATCATAACGTGGCTCACTCACATATGTCACTTATACTTTGCAATGCTCTAAATAGCATCCGAGGCGCTTTTTTGGGGCGAGCGTCAGGCGATTCGAAAGAACCCACCATGGCGAACGTGAAGGCAGGCATGGTCTTGAAACGTGAGTCTCTGACTATTATGCGCTTGTGCTCCTTTGTTGCTGTCCTTTTTCTGAGCCCACTGATGGCTGACCCAGCCACAGCCATGACATCATGCCAGTTGATGAGCATTGCTTGCAAACTCACAGCTGGCCCCGGATGGTCCTGCGGCGCCGCCAGGGTCAAGCCGAAGTGCTTGCAAGTGGAACATCCGCCGTGTTTGCCTGGCGCTCATGGCACGTCGCAAACACGTTGCCATGAGAAACGAAATTCGTCAAGCTGTTGCAGTTTTGGCTCAGGAAGGGGGCAGCAGAAAAGCCAAGTCATCAAAGCAAGCCAAAACGCCAGCGCTCCAACAAACCAGCAAGAGTCCGGGTTCCTGGCATGCCGGCTAAAAGACTGCCGACCCTCAGTGATCTGAACAGAAAGGCCAGGCGGAAACGTGAGCGGCTCGAAAAACATGAGGCTCAGCTTCAGGAGCAGCTGCAGCAGGAAGAAGCGGCAAAGTTGCAAGCCGATGCCAAACTGAGGCAGCAGCAGCAGCAGAGCGACATGTTTCTCAGGCACATGAACAGCCGGTTGCGTTTCAACAACGAGATCCTGGAGGAGAAAAAAGCGGAGGTGAAAGAGTTGACCCTGGCTGCGCAGGCAGGGGTAGTGACAGCGTTAGTACTTGCACACATTGCAGCTCAATTATAGCCAGGGTAACGTCAAAATGTAAAGATTGTAGCGAAACTGTTGCCAAACACGCGCAAGGTTTTATCGTGTTCTCGGGGCATCAGACGCCTTTCGGCCTCAGGGCATGAAGAATAAGCAGCCCCTGCATCAAGCGGCAGAATCTGCTGCAGCATCGCCTTCATCCTCATCGAGTTCATCATCATCATCTAGCTCTAGCAGTTCTGACTCAAGCTCTTTAGCAAGGTTAGCACGCTCGGTGTTTGTTGCTTGCGCTTTCCTGGGTAGTTTGCCTGGGCGCTTGAACCTCTGACTGTGCTTGTCGCTAAGGTGCTGCTACGCCAGAGCAAGAGCAGCCTGCAGCTTCTAGCAAGAAACGGGCAGCATCGTCATCCATTAGGCCGAAAAAAAAAACCTGCTACACCGAAAAAAAGACCTGCTACAAAGCACTGAAGGGGCACACAGCTCCCCACAAAAAGCGGGCAGGCGCCTGACAGGAAAATACGCAGCGCTGCGCTGCTGATGCACCCACTTGCGCTTGCAAATAGCCTCAGGGCACCTTTGCCTTCTAAACATGTCTTGCTCCTGCGTGCTCTCCCAAGGCAAAACGGACAGCAACCTGGCCTGGCAGTCGGGGCCTTGGAGGTTGATGATTGCGCCTTGGCCTCACGGGTGCATTCCAGGCCAAGCTGATCCAAGCCAAGGTCCAAATGCCAAAGACCATGTCTTCATTGGATATTTGATTTGTCCCTTTCGCAAATTTTTTTTACCCTCAATTTGCAAGATTGCCCTTGGTCGTGACTGGAAGACTTCCTGCCGCAGTAGACCACACCGAGCAATTGCTCGCACGCCCTTGGACTGACTGGGTTGCGGGCGGCCGAAAGCATCTTTGACGGTCACAGAGCTTTGCACTGACTCATGGCTTGAGGCGCGGACTTGCTGACGTGGACTTGCTGAAGCCGCCGCCAACGACCAGATAGCTCACTCAGCCATGATCCAGAACAGCCGCAGTTTCGCAATCTCTTCGTCTCAACGCCTGGGCTAGAATCAAGCCCGCTGCGCTGGGCCACACGGTGGTCCTCGACAAGCTGGGCTGTGGGTTGTAAGACTCGGCTCGGCGGGCCTGCTTCTTATGGAAAGACAAGCCCCTGCTTTTCACCTTTCAGTTTGCGACAGCACGCCTATTTGTTTTCCAAGGCTTGGTGCCCAAACAATCCTACGAAGCGCTCTTATTTTCCAAGACTTGGCCGGCCCAAGTGTGGTATAAGCATGTTCCAAGGATTTGGTTGGGCCAAATCAAGAGTATGCGCGTATATTTTAAGATGTTGGTGGGCATGTTTCCCGTGATGCTGGCGCACCGCCAAATCATACTAACCAATATTGTCCAAAACTTGGCGGGCCCAAGTCCGGTGTTACTCATGATTTGGTTGAGCCTTGTAAAAGAATGCGCCTGTTTTCGCAGATTTGGTGGGCCCAAGTCTGACACAAGTATGTTCATGCCCCAGGCCCGAATGTGGCTGTTTGCGCCCCAGAGCATGCCTACTTTTCATTGGTGGGGCCAAGTCTGATGCGGGCATGCTTCAACTTGGATGGGCCTGGTAAGGGCACGGAAACCCCTATTTTCCAAGACTTGGTGGGGCCAAGTCTGGCAAGGAAACGGAAACGCCTCTTTTGCAAGACTTGACTTGGCCAATTTTCCAAGACTTGGTGGGGCCAAGTCTGGAAAGTTTCCAAGACTTGGTGGAGCCAAGTCTGGAAAGGGATTTAAGTCTGAGTGCCTGGCCTGCCCAAGTCCTTGTCGCTGTAGACCCCATCCCCCCTTAAAACAAATGCCCTTTTCAGGGCTACCACTGTATTTCAAGTGGCTCCTATGTTTTCCCACCTGCCTGACAGCTCCTTAGTGTTTCCTCAGCATCGATACCTGAAGCGGTCACGTCCAAACACTGCTCCTGAGTGATTCCTTAGATTCGATAGCTGAAGCAGTCGCATCCAATCACCTGTCACTGTTTCTTAGTGTTCCCGGCATTTTGCGTCCAAAGTGTTTGCGCCTGGCGTGGGCGCCTGGAGCGGTCACATCCAGTCGCTATTCCTTAGTGATTCCTTGGTGTGGGCAACAACTGATTGGTATAAAAATTATCAGGCACAGTAGGCTTCATCATGTCATCCAACACAGCAACATGCAAGAAGCAACCTACATCTGAGCGCGGGTCGGAAAAGGCCGCTGGCAAAGGACTTTCAAGAAAGGCCGCGCAAACGAACACGACTAGGAGCTGCTTCAAACAGGCTGGCAAAAACCACGCAAGAACGGCCTGATCGTAAATATGAGCCGTGCAAAAGCAAGGGCTGGGTGAAGACTCCGCGCAAATGGATTGAGTAAAATTCGTGCAGAAAACGCTTGCCACAAATATGCAACATGGCTTGATCATGACTAGGACTGGCACAAACCGGCCTGAGTAAAGGACGCGCAGAGAGGGCCAAATTAAGGCCATGTGCAAATGGCCAGCATATGACTCTTCACTGCACAAAAATTGCATAGACACATAAATAGGCTGTCACTGTGCAAAAATGGATTGGGCCAAGACCGGGCAAAAAAGGCTTCGAGTAGAGGCTGTCGTGACAAGTTGGCTTGGATAAAGGCCTCGTGCAAACATGGTCCAAGAAATGACCGCGCGAAAATGACCTGAATCAAAGACTTGCAGAGGTGGCCTGAGTCAAGGGCAGCGCTAAATGGCCTGAAGCAAAAGGCTGTGCAAAAATGGCTTGAAGCTCTGTTTCAACAATGGTCGCGCAAGAACGGTCTAAATCAAGACCACGCGAGATCTCGAATGGCCTTGAGTGAAGCCGGTGCACATGTGGCCAAGGCCGCGCAAAATGCTGCAAATCAAACTCGGGGAAATTTAAGTAAAAACTGTCATCACTCAGTGGATCCATTACCTGGCAACCTGAGAAAAGCGGGAGCAAATTCAACAGCGCCTGCAATCGGGACCTGTGAGCTATATTGTGTTTGCAACACAAGACCCTCACGCCAAATCACACAAAAGTCGCTTCGCGCTGGTGTCGTGGTACCAGAGCTCACCAAGTCTTGGTGGTGCGTTACGGGGTTTAAACCACGCCTGCCTGCTCACCTCGCTAGTTTTACAGGTTGACATAGTATGGAGCGGGACATGTCCCTTATTTGCCTTCAACTTGGTGGGCCAAGTCTGGCAAGGGCAATTTTCCAAGACTTGGTGGGCCAAGTCTGGCAAGCGTAATTTTCCAAGCAAGTCTGGCAAGGGCAATGTTCCAAGACTTGGTGGGCCAAGTCTGGCAAGCGCAAGTTTCCAAGACTTGGTGGGGCCAAGTCTGGCAAGGGATTTAAGTTTGAGTGCCTGGCCTGCCCAAGCCCTTGTCGCTGTAGACCCCATCCCCCCTTAAAACAAATGCCCTTTTCAGGGCTACCACTGTATTTCAAGCGGCTCCTATGTTTTCCCGCCTGCCTGACAGCTCCTTAGTGTTTCCTCAGCATCGATACCTGAAGCGGTCACGTCCAAACACTGCTCATTACCATGTTTTTTGCCTGGAAGCCCTTGGTCGCGTCACCTGACAGCTCCTTAAAGAGTGGATACCTGAATGAAGAGGTCACGTCCAAACACTGCGATAGCTGGTGTTTCCTGAGAATTGCCTCTACTGCGTTGATTGAGCTCTGAACAAAGTTCATGGCTGGCGGGCATGGGTTGACTTAAAACACGAAGCAGGGCGACTACCTTGAGGCGAAGCGGCAACGTCCATTACGCTGGGGGAGTCTTGTCCAAGAAAAGCAGGTGCAAAAAACCAGGGTGTGTAGGAACCCCAACTGCCACGAATCGACCCCAACTGCCACGAAAACTACTTAAATTGAGAAGTCTTCGCCGAGCAGCTTTGTGGTGGCCGGGGCCCGCTCACCAGGAGTGCGGATGCACCTGACGCGTCCAAGCATATTTAGGCGGCGATGAGGGCTGGGGCTCCGGCAACATCCGGCAACTTGCGGACAGCGTCGTGGCAGCCACGCATCCCTCCCGCCGGGGGGTCCAGCACCAGCTCCACCGCCTAGCCAATCACAATCAGGCGTGCGCCCCACCCCCCGATTCGACCGCAAGCGGCGCCTCCTCCAGCACGCCCGCCGCGTGCGCGAACCGAGGCAGAAGAGGGTGGTGCCGCACCTGCGTCTGCAGCACAAAGTTCACCCCCAGCACAACCTGGCAGAGCGGGAGGGGCGGGCGAGCGCGCAAGCCTCACCCTTGCCTCAAGCAAGTCCCCCCGCGTTTCCGCGCTGGTCCAGTGCGGGAGGCCCAGCGCGCCCCCAAGGTCCAGCGCGGCCCACACCTCGGAGCACACGGAGTTCATGGGGTCCGTGTAGCGGACCCCGCCCCGCGAGTGCCACATCAGGCGATCCTTGCGCGCGCAGACACGCACATGTTTTGTGGACCGCCCCCTATCCTCCCACCAGCCTTGCGTGCGTCCGGAAGCGGCCCCCAGCTGACACGGACCGCTCCAAGGTGGGATAGGGCCTCGGGGCGGAGCTTCCCAGCCCCAGCACCAAGTGGAAGGCAGGTAAAGCGTGGGCCAGTAGCTGGCGAACACGCCACCAGGCCACTTCAGCCTGGCGCACTACAGTTCCAATTCTAAACAAGCTTTGCGCGGCCCCCTGCCTCGGTGCGAAGATCTGAGTTCCCGCGCACCAGCACCTCTGCCGGAAGAGGCGGCAGGCGTTTCCCCTCAAGAGCCTGACAGGAGCTAGCGCTTCGATAAGAGCCAGGCGGCGGTCCCGCGCCTGCAGAACCAACGCTCGGGTTTCGTCCATGGCCTGGGCGCGGTGCAATGAATGCGTTCGCGGTTGATTGCGCGTAAGGCCGCAGCGTCAGACTCAAGAACTGAAGGTCTCAACAGGATATGATAGAGCCAAAGCTGTGGGACGAATTTCGAGAATCAAGCTCTCTGCAAGTTCTCTCCAGGGCTTGATTGCGCAGCTTCGCAAGCGTTTGCTTCACTGTTAGGTCCAACTTGCCGTGACTTGCGGGGTCTACCGCTGGTCGGACTCCCTTACCTTTCACTTCTTCTTTTTGCTCAGCCATGTCCTCGACATGTGCTTGACGGTTCGAAATAGTCGACAGTGTCTATGCATAAGTCTTATCGACTAGTTCGACCATGAGAAAAATGTGCGACAACATGTGAAACTAGCCCTCTCACTGGAAGCAATGTTCAAGTCTAGCTTCTGTTTGCTTGGGCCTTTGGGCCTGTCTGGGCCCACAACGCGCACAAGCAACGCGTGTTTTGGCTCGCCAAGGTCTTGGGTTGAGACATGAAACAGTTAGCGGTGTCTGTGGATAAGTCCTGCTGACCAGTTCAAGCTGGAGTGAAACAAGTTGAGCAAAAAACGTGAGACGCCCCCTCACTTGAAGCCTCCGAAGAACTTGCTCTCCAGCTGCCGTTCGTGCCGATGCGCGCGGCGGCCACGCCAGCTGCGGTTGCTGGAGGGCGCGTCGTCCAGCTCCCCAGCGGGTCCTGACAGGGCGGGTTGGAAAATTGACGGCGTCTCCAAAGTTCAAACTTGCAACAGCGCGCATGACCAGTGTTAAAACCCTCTAGGCCCCGCGCCGAAATTGGGTAGCTGTTCTGAGGTCCTTGTTGGTGTTGCTTCCCAAGTTCCATTGATCGCCATTTGGCTCAAGACACAATTGAGGTTCAAGATCTGATGTGTGACTGCAGACCTACGTGATCGGCATTAAGAGCAAAACAACTGCTTGCGCCGCATTGTCAAGACTACTGTTGTAACTATCATTCCTTCTCCCTTACAACGTTTACACGGGTTCGGCTATAACGGCATCGTCCGTATACACCTTTCTACGTGGTTGGTATTACAGCTTGAGGGTTCGGTGCATAGCGTCCCACGGGACGTCACCTTGCCGTCTCTTGACAGGTTATCAGCCGTAACTACAAGCTCTACACTGGACTGGGAGACAGCTGGTTTATTGCGGGTACAGGGACAATAAAGGAACGATAACCTACACAGTACAATGGCGTCTTCGGCGAGCCCAAGTACTGCAACTTTTGGGAACAGCAGCTCAGAGGGATCCAATGGATTGATGGCTCTTCCTGCGGTGATGGATATGGTTGCAGATTCACAGGATGAACCTGGGAGCGGAGGTTCCGCGCTATTCAGCGACATATCTACTCCCACAAGATCATGGAAGCAGATCGATGTTCATCAGGAGTCGAAGAAAAGAGAATCCCCACCGAGAAGATCATCATCTTCGCCTGCGACACCACGGACGTCGCAGAAGGGCGTGAGATCGACATCGAAGGGTGGGAGGTCAAAATCACCCACCAGTGCAGATTTTCGCGCCGTGATCAAAGAGAAGAATAAGATGGAGGTGGAGATCGGGGAATATCAGAAGACACTTGATGAAATGTCGGCAGCAATGGCGAATCTTAACCAAGAAGACTATGGAAGCACCATCCGGATCCAGGAGCTGGAAAGACGATGCGAGATTGCCAGCAAGCAGTCGGGACATCTAGTGAGTCACCACCAACACCACATGGCTGAGGCATGGCGCAAGTTTGAGGAAGAAGCCCAACAGATGCGCAAGGTGGAAATGAACGCATTTCAGTACGGGGAGAAGAAAGACATGGAGTCGAATATTATAATGCAACAGATGAGGCAAGCTGAAGGAACTATCATGGAGCAGAAGCGGGAGATTGCATTGATGAAATCCTACATGGCAAGCGAGAAGTCGGCCGCGCAGGAATCAGCTATACGTGCAAATCAGCTACACCGTGAGGCTTCACAACAGATATCAGCTTATCAGCAACAGATCAGAGGCATAGAATCTTCTACATCTATCGAGAAGTTCAACGAGGAAGAGATGGTCCAAAGTCTGAAATCACAGTTGGAGCATGCACTCGTCAAGCGCCCCGAGACGTACTCTTTGGAGGACTCCAGGGACCAGCTGATGGCGAGGCTGAATGACGTTACAGTATTTGCGGAACAGGAATCGAAGAGAGCAGATTGCTTGCTTCGCGAAAAAGAAGAGATCGTCAAACAGTATGAATCCGACGTGTCGATGAAGGACCAGATGATTGCTGTCGAAGGTGGTCATCGTCAGGATGCGATCTTGGAGTTAGCCCAGGTCAAAGAAGAGAAACAAGAGGAACGGAGCACGATGGACGAGAAGTCGAAGGAGGCTGAGTACTGGAGATTGACAGCTAAGGGAATGTACGATGAGTACCTCGAGGAGATGCATGAGCTTCAGAGACAACTGAAAGAAAGAGAGGCGACGCTCAAGCACGAAGAGAGTTTTGTACGCCAACTCGATGCTGACAACGAGGAACTACGTGCACACAAGAAGCTGGAGACACAGGAAGCCTCCAGCAGCAAAGATGGACATCGTGAACGAGCAGTAGTGAAACGCGCTGAGGGAGGAACCCAGGCTAATTCAAATAGGATAGACAAGAAGGTGGCTGGGTCAGTCCCGTCATCGTCTTCGAATCAAATCCCTAATTCGTCGCTGATGCCAGGTTCGATTCTCTTTCCGTCTTTCGGTGATCCAATGATCGATGTACACCTATCCCAGATGCAAGGGGTTGTTGGGCATGTCCCACAATCCACTACTACGACTGGTGGTGGTGATGGGGGGGGAAACAACGGTTCTACGCCCCCATTGGATTACGGTGGATTCCCGCCCAATGGGAATGGGCAGGGAGCGGGTCGACGTCAGTTGAGCCTCGCTGGTGGCGGAGGAGGACCTCCTGATGATCCACCCGATGATGAGGATGAGGATGACGACGACGAAGGAGATGAGGAAGACGAGGAAGAAGAAGAGGAAGAAGACGATCGGACACGGAGGAGACGAAGGAGATCGAGAGATAACCGAGAGATCAAGAATGATCGACAGAGAATCTCGAGGAAAGAGGCCGAGAGAGTATCTATTCCGGCCTGGCCAAAGATCCATCAACTTGACACCTGGAAGATGCAACTGCTGATGAATGTTCTGAGCGCATGTGCAGATCCAGATACCGACGCATGGACGAAATGGCTGGAGCAGGCTCTTGGGTTGAAACCAGACCTGGATTTGCTTAGCGATTCAGGTGGCGACAGATTTGCTACGATAGATATTAAGATGGCCATGGGCATGCAGAACATGCTGAAACAAGCACCTGACGAAGCCAAGGACGTTTACCTCGATGCTACACGACACTCTGAACTACGACATCAACAAGGGGTGATCGTGAAGGGACGAGAGTTGGTGGCATTAGTTATGCAATCATTCAGAACTTCCGATAGAACGGATCTTGTCTACCACATCGAGCATTTATTCAACCTTGACTTTCCTGGCGACAAGAACTTGGTCATGTTCAGGAACAAATGGTATGATTTGCTGCTGAAGATGAGGAGCGAGGACAGACCCAGTAAGCTGGCTCTCAGAGACATCCTTTACAGGAAGATCAAAGGGAGCAAGAAGATGGAGTTCGGCCTCAATGCCTACCATAGACTACCGGACAAGCATCCTCAGAAGACGTATGAATTCTTATTGGCGTTGATCGACTATCAGATCAAGGCAGATCGGGAAGACCTGATGCTCGACATGAAGGAGAAATCGGTCAAGTCGATGATGAAGTCAGGCGGGGAGGATGCGGCTCCAGCAACTGGCAAACAGGAGAACCAGGGTGGCAAGGGCAGAAAGGGGAAACCCGGTGGACCTGATGCCGCTCCTGTACTCCCAAAAGCCAAGGCAAAGGGCCACGCTGGCAAGAACGGCAAGTCCGACGGTGCCAGCGACAGAGGCAAGAGTCCGGGCGGAAGCAAGGATAACCCCTGCTGGTACCACTTCAAATCGGCGAAGGGGTGCGTGAAAGGGAATGAATGCACTTTTTCCCACAGCAGGAAGACGGAGCATAAGTTGGAGAGCATGTCCAAGGGGAAAGGAAAGGGCAAATCCAAGTCCAGATCATCGTCACCAAAGAGGGATGATGGAGCATGCTTCGCGTTTCAGAAGGGGAAGTGCGATAGGGGAAGCGCTTGTAAGTACAGGCATGAGCTCATCAAGAACAATTCAGCTCCAGCAACGTCAAATGACAAGGCGCAAGCCAAGTCGAAGGCTGCCGCCAAAGCCGCAGCGCCTGCCATTGCGAGGAGGGCCATCGCAATGCCCGCGATAGTCCTGAAGCAATCGGCTCCTGCAGGGAAGGTAAGCTTCAAGAAGGACGTTGATCAGGTCGAACCGGACGAAGCCGAGACTGTCTACCACGAGCACGATGACGACGCGATGAGCGAATCATCGAGATGGTCTGGCGAGTCCGAGATCCCCGAGAAAATGGTGTGGTTCAAGGAAGTGCTCGACGTCGACGAGAATGGGGAGATCACCTACCTCGAAGACGAGAGAAGGCAATGGGAACGAAAAGGGGAATGGTACGGTTATGAGGACAATGAGAATGAGCCTTATCAGTACGTGTACGTCGACGAGAAGAAGTTCAAAAGCAGTGATCATCGTGAATTATCAGCCTACCAAGTCCAACGATCATTGATACGTGCGAAGATACTGAGAGAAGTGGTGGATGATGTATATAAGAAGCACTACTTCCCGGTGACCAAGGAGAGCAGCATAATGTTCGAGTATGATCGGAACAAGGACGAGATCAAGGAATCGGCTGTCGACTGGAAGAAGCAGCATGGTATGCCGAAGAACGTTTTCGCCATGTCAACGTGCATCAGCAAACGGGTGAAATGGTTGATGGACACCGGATGTGGTCATGATCTCATTGGAAGAGCCAAGGCGAAGAGCCTGGGTGTCGACATCGTGAAAG